GTGTGTTGGGAAGACGAGGCAGTCCAGCGCTTGATCTTGCACGTGCGTGATGGTTCGGATGTCGTCTTGCGACACGCTGTCGGGGCTCGAGCTTTCGGGGTGTCAGCTTCACAACGCAGTCCATTCGCGTGATCCCGTACGTCGTTCCAGTATGTCTTGCTCGCCTCACCAATCCGAGCACCATCGACGCTATTATCGATGCTGTTTTTCCTCATGTCTTCTCCAACGCTGGCGTTGAGCAGGCACATGATGCTGGGCTCACCGATAACTTGTATTTTGTATTCAATACAAATACGGAGTGAAATAGAATGTTGTAACTGCCACAGCACCATTTGCCGGAAGCAGGTAATAATACAGCCGACGATGAAGAAGGCGAAGACCGGTCGTGGTGCTACGAACCGAGGCTTGGCTTGCCTCGAGATCCCCGATGTGTGCAAGGCCATCCTCGCTTACTGCTTCCTCGATGATGCGCAGAGCCTGAGCGCCATCGTGCTCAGTAAGGCGACCACGCGATCGGTCGCCGAGTACGAGGAGCTCTGGACCGGCCTCCTTATCGCTCACTACGGCGAGCTACGCTCGCACCCAGCAGTGCGCCCATGCTTGTCTGGTGACATACCCGTGGCGGCGCCTAGATATACGCCGTGTACGGCGTGTATCGAGTATTTCACGTGGCTTTTCGCTCAGGGGGAAAAAGGGCGCGAGGCCTGCATTACCGCTGCACCTCGGGTGAGGCGTGGCGGTTCCCCCAAGGCCATGCGGCTGGCCAACTGAGCGATCGCCACATCGTCGATGCGCGCGTAGATCTTGAACGCGTCGCTGCGCCATCGACCGAACTTCTGGATCGTCAGATCCGTGGCGCCGCCCTTGAACTGCGCTGTGGCACCTCCACTTCGCAGTGAGTGCGTCGTGAAGGTTGCCGGTTCCTTGCCGAGCTTCGCGGCTGCACTGCGGAGAAGCTGACGGACTTGGAGCTCCGTGATCGGCACGGCGACACCGTGTTGGTCAAAGGAGATGCAGAGGGGGTCGTCTTCGACCGCTCCAGCTCCTCGAGCCAGCCTTCGCAGCTCCCACAGCGCTGGAATCGGGCAGAGCCATGTGCTACCCGAGCGAGCTAGACGGAGCGTCGTGCCGTCGCCACGTTGATCAGTCTTCGAGCTCGGGATCGTGACGTGAACCTCGTGAGCTTCGTCCACCGTCCGCGCTACTGTCTCGAAGCGGGTGGTGAACCGGACGTCCTTGACCCGGATGCCGTGCATGGCGGGTCTGGCTCCTTCGTGCAAGTACTCGGACTTGCGCAGGAGAAAGAAGAAACCCAGCAGCGCAGCCCCCCAGAGTGAGCGCTGCTGGGGGACGTTGAAGTCGAGTCCGGCACGCATTTGCCAGAGCATGCCGATGCTGACGGGCTCCTTGCGTTGGGCGGGTCCATCGGTTCGTTCAATGCCTCGGAGGACGAGCTGATGGTCGGGTTCCAGCGCCACGTTGTACCCTCGGTGCACTTGATGATGCCAAGCGACGCCGCAAAGTTTGGATCGGATGGTGCCCGCCGAGTTTCCTTGGTCGCGGAGGTAGAGGACGTAGTTGATGAGGCCATTGGACTGCTCGCGTTGGTCGGGTGAGAGCCATGGATGGTAGCCTTGGCGTTCCCGCCACGCGCGCCACTGTTCCCAAGCAGCTGCGTACCTTCCTCGCGTGCTCGTGGCCAGTGCAGCGTCTTGGAAGTCGCGGATGACTGCCGGTACATGAAGCGGAGGTGCGCGGGTACCTCCCATGCCTGCCAACCCGTGGCGAGGCGGCGCCACGCGGACCGATGCGGTTCCTCGAGGCTGCGTGATCCGTGGTATGCCATCGTGTTGCGTGCTCCTTCCATGTGGCCCGCCGTGACGTGTAAACGGTGCACCGCTTGCGCGAGCGCCAGGCGGCGGTTGAGCTCCTGGGCGAAGACGCTCTCGGCTGCGAGTTTGTTCGTCCATGCGACGCTCGACGCGTTGTCGATCCATCCGTGCACGTGGACCGTTGCTCGGTTGTCGACCGCCCAGAGCGGCGCCCATATGCTGACCGCGAGGCATAGGCTCAAATGCTCCCGGACGTTGATCGAGAAGGGAGGCTGCGCTGACGCGTCGCTGCCAGCCGATCGTTGGGCGACGTCACGAATCATGGCGCGCTCGGATTCGTCGAAAAACAGCTGGATGTAACGCTTGTGAGCCAAATCGAGAACGACCAGGCCAATATTGGTCATTCGCGTCCATGTACAGGTGCAAGTCGGGCTCGGAGGAGCGATCGAAGATGGCCGCGGGTACGCGAGCAAAGTCAGCCTGCGCCAGAATGGCCTGGAAAAGCTCAAGGTCGCGTAGTGCGGTCGGCGGGAGTCGAAAGGTCTTGTACTTGTCTGCCCGCACCGCGACGTTGTGCAGCCGTTGGTAGAAGGCTCGGGCTGCCGGTGCGCACGAGCAGACGTGGCGGAGCGAGCCCAGAGCTTGGAGAAGGTCCGTCTTGCGAGCCGTGCCTTTATGCACGAGGGCGTCCACCCGGTGTTTGGCTTTCTCGACCTTCCCCGGAGGCATCGAGACGGCTGCGTCGTTGAGGTGCCAAATAAGCCCCAACGCGTGGAGGTCGCTCGACCATGCCTTGAACTTCTTCTCATTGATGCTTGTTGGTCCTAGGATGGCCAGCATGGCGAGGCGTAGAGATGTCTCGGCCGCACTGGCCCGGATCGGCACCACGCCGTCGGGCGTTCGCGAGACCAGCTCGATGAGAATGTGATCGTCCATCCATTCCAGCGTCCAGAAGGGCTCGGTGTCCTGGTCCCGCCACGGGTTGAGTGAGTGAGGTGACTCCTGCGAGACGAGATGGGAGATTGCCCGACCAAAGACGACGTAGTACGGTGGGCTCCCACACCAACCAAACGGCCCCGAGAGGTCTAAACCCCAATGACTAGACCCTGGTACTTGTGCCCCGAGCCAATGCGCGTCCGCGGCAGCCACGCGCAGATGCCGGAACGCGCTCTTGACGTCGCCGGCCATGCCCACGATGGTCATGTCGTCCGTCAAACGCAGATGCAGCGCGATGATGCGCGACGCGACTTCGGTGATGCGTCACCAACGGACGTCCGGCAAGAGGTCTTTGTCGGTTGCGTCACCGTGAAAGTCTTGCCAGACTCTCGCACCGCCACGACTTGCCCCGCCGTCGCCGAACCGTTGAGGCGGAAGAGGACAAACCGACGCAACAGCGCGCCCGTGTTGGACCGGGCCTCGCGCGCCGAGGCGAACGCGAACGTGCACTCGTCTTTCGGCATCGTGAACGAAGTCTCCGGCGAGCCCTCCGTCGGCAGTGTCGTGAACGTGAGCACCTTCGGGCCGCGTCTCGCGCTGGCTACCGCCGTGATGCAAGCGTACACCGGCCAATCGAGCGCGCCGGGAGCCACTTGCGCGCGCGATTCGTCGGAGACTTGCTCAGGAAGAACCATGACATGGGATTTCCTCATGTACTGATGGCGAGCCATGAGTACCTCTTGCTTAGCGGAGAGCGAAAACTAGAATGCTAGGCTCTGCCGACCAGTCGTTGGTTTCGCCGAGCCGCCTTCTCTTGAAAAGTCCGTTTCGACTCCTTGCAGGCGCGAAACACCCATTTCGAGACGGCCGTCGAACGTTCCACCTTGCAGCGGCTACCAGGGTGGCTGCAAACCCGAAGCATGGTAAAGTCACAGCTCAATGACGTTGACTGCATCAAACCAACGACAAAAATATGCGTCGGTTGGTGCCTCTG